CCCCAAGGGCACTTTCGCAAACGGACACCTCAATGGCGTGCTCGCAGCTCACCAGAAACAGCAAGACGCGCCCAAGGGCATCAAGGGTATGCCCACGCGGGCTCGTCTGGCACTGCAACGCTCGGCCACTTCAGTATCTGTGTCAACGACACGTGCTGGCCACCGCGTCTTCAACAGCTTGCCCAAATGGCTCCAAGGACCGCTGTCCAAGCTTGGTTCGGGCTTGTCCAAGTTCGCCAGGGGCGTGTGGGACTTTATGAACCCTCCGCTCTGGGCCATGCTGATTGCCATCTTGGTCGCCTCTATTCCACCGCTACAACGCTTGTTCTTCACGCCTGGAACATTCATCAACACGTCGGTTACGCGCGCTGTAAATCAAAGCGGACAAGTGGCGGTGCCCCTGATTCTGGTTGTCCTGGGCGCCAATCTTGCTCGCAACACGCTGCCAAAGGAGGACCAAAACTCAATCGAGGACCCCAGCGTAGAGAGGAAGTTGGTCATTGCCTCACTTATCAGTCGCATGCTCATCCCAACGCTCCTCATGGCACCAATGCTGGCCCTGACTGCCAAGTACGTGCCTGTCAGCATCCTCGACGACCCGATTTTCATTGTTGTCTGCTTCCTTCTCAGCGGCGCACCTAGCGCGCTTCAACTGGCGCAGATCTGCCAGATCAACAATGTGTACATGGGCGCCATGTCGCGGATCCTGTTTCAGAGCTATGTGGTATGGATTCTGCCATCGACTCTGCTATTGGTCATGCTTGCATTGGAAACCGTCGAATGGGCAACATGAACGAGCAGAGCGGGAGACCAAACAGGCGCCAGGGTGCGCATGTGGCACAAGCAAGGAAATTGTATACTTGAGTGCATGGCGAAAACAGGGATCTTGTGTTTGGTACAGCGCGGCGTTTTGGTGTTTTGGCGTTTTCCTACGCGTTGTGACGTAGGTCGTAGGCCTTAGATAGGCCTCTGCACGGCTCCGTCGCCACGTCCAAAAGCGGGCTGCATGTGGATTGTAACGCTGCACTTGCACTGTACGAGTATTTTATTAGTTGGATTTGTTGCTCATTACCACAATAGACGGCCCCAAGGCGGCTTGGCCACGTGTGCACTACGTACTGAATTTCGTCACATTCCACATTGCCGGTTTTCTGTCCACTGGTGTTTTGCTTGCTTATCTCGTTGTGGTTTGGCCGTTCGTACACTGCCAAGCCCACCACCACACATGGAACCTCGTCAAGACGGCGCGCAGCATGGGAGGCGCCGGGATGCACCTTGGGCTCGCCATGGCCATGACGCCCCGAGTCTCAATGGGTTCGATGCGTGTTTTGGTGGTTTCTCTGCAGCCCCGTCGCTGTGAATGCCATGACGCTCCCTCTGCTCGTCGGTCTGCCCAACTGATCCTGACTGCCAATCAGCTTGGCACGTGGACCCCTTACTCGCGTATCCTGTTCTTGCCTGCCTGCCCTGCCTGGCCTGGGTATCGATAACACTCACACACAACGCCCGCCCACCAAGCGGCCCAATCCTCCTGCCACCATTTGGAAGCGGCTGTTGTCACAGACTCTCTCACGCCTTGGGGACAGGGTTCCCAACACTTTTGCTATCTCCCTCGCCGATCCGGCTTACGTACCCAGCCGGACTGCTCCAGACTCCCCTCGGCCATTACCAGACCATGGCCACTTCTTCCAATTGGCAGGCCCAACAGCCCGCTGGCCCACAGTCAAGCGACTCTCTAGCCCTCTCTCGCAACACCACTTTGGAAGACGGTCCATCGCCACACTCAAGCAAAGGTTAGTCGGTCACTCTCTTGTTTCTTGGTTGCACGCACACCCCATCACTTTGTTGCGTTGTATGTATGGTGGGGTATGGGGTTTGGCCGGTGCTCGGTTCATGTGCAACAATCACTCCGCGGTCTTGAAGGCGCCTAGGCTTTAGGTGTTCCCTAACACACGTGTGGCTGTATTCTAGCTTCTCAGGTAGCTTACATGAAATGCACGGCGCTTGGGAACAGAGACTGTACTCTCTTCGTACAGATCTGCACTTTGCAAGCGATCCACATCCAGCGCAGTTGCTTACTATACATGTGCAGCCGTATCCTTTCCCGATGACAGCAAAATTTCCCCATTGATCATCGGCAAGAACAAGGAGCTCGACCAAAAAGATTACCTGGATCTTGACAAGCCTCCTAGACACTTTCCAACAAGTGTCAGTAAAAAGCGCCTGTCCGGGCGTCCTTCCTATGAACGCGAAGGATCATCCAAATCTGGAGTGCCCGACGCCAGCACGGCCTTGACCTCGCTACTTCCAGAAGGCTCAATTGATGCGGCTTCTCATAGTCACCAAGCCCACGAGAACCTGTTGAAACAGGTCGGCACCTGGCTCAAGCAGGAGCGAAGCCGGCGCCATGCACGAAGGGCAAGACGCAAGGCTGCCAAAGCTGGTGTCACTGACCATGAATCCGAGAGCGCTGCAGCAGAGACACTCGACAAGTCCATCTCTCATCACAGGAGCGACTCTGACTCTTCCCATGGCGAGGATGCACTTACTCAACTGGCACAAATTCTCGAAAAGAACATGGCCTTGAAGCTTTCCGAAGCCAAGAAGCGCCATCACCACTTGCACAGGTCATCCATTGGCTTGAAGCGACACTCTGCAATTTCTCTTGATTCGGACTACTTTGAGTCGGTAGATCAGCTCGTCCCTAGTTGTGAAGCCACTTTGGACAATTCAAAGACCATGGCATACAACGTCGATGAGCCTGGAGCCGAGTCCAATGTTGATGTAGCGGACAAGGAAAAAGAGGCTTGGTCCAAATTTCGAGCTGAAATCCTTCGTCTTACTCACACATTGAAGTTGAAGGGATGGAGGAAGGTGCCCAGCGAGCTGAGCAACGAAATCAGTGTACAAAGATTGAGCGGTGCGCTTACAAACGCTGTTTACGTCGTATCTCCTCCTAAGAATCTACCGGTTCCCGAGCAGAGTGAAGATGGCCCACCAAAGCCCAGGAATCCTCCACCGTAAGTCTTGTTGCAGTTCACTTAGCTTTTGTCTAACATTTCTTTCAGCAAGCTTTTGCTTCGTATCTATGGTCCACAGGTAGAACACCTGATTGACCGAGAGTCGGAATTACAGATCTTGACGCGACTTGCCCGCAAACGTATTGGTCCACGCTTGCTCGGTACTTTTGGCAATGGTCGATTTGAAGAGTTTCTGCATGCCGAACCACTTACTTCCAAGGAGCTACGTAACCCAGAAACCTCGGTACAGATCGCAAAGCGTATGCGAGAACTTCATGAGGGCATTGATTTGCTGAAAAAAGAGCGAGAGGCTGGTCCGTTTGTTTGGCAAAACTGGGACAAGTGGGTCAATCGCTGCGAACACATTGTGACCTGGTTGGATCAACAGATCCGCGAGAGTAGCCAGGACCTCTCCAGAGCCTCTTCAGACAAATGGAAGAGGCGAGGATATGTTTGCGGTGCCGAGTGGCCCATGTTCAAGCAAATGATTTACAAGTACCGGAAGTGGCTAGAAGATCAGTATGGCGGTCTTGATAAGATCAATGAGCGCATGGTCTTTGCCCATAATGACGTGAGTTACAATGCGAAGTGAAAATGGTATAATCTAATTCGATTACAGACCCAGTATGGAAACATCCTTCGCATGATGCCAGAAGGCGAGTCGCCACTGATGCTACCGGCAAATCAGCACAAGCAGCTGGTGGTTATTGATTTCGAATATGCAAACGCCAATCTTCCTGGGTTGGAATTTGCCAATCACTTCGTAAGCTTTATCCGTTTTATCAACTCTTAATTCGGTGCCCGTTGGGCATCGCCATGATGCAAGGACAAGCTGACATGATGTTTCAGACGGAATGGACGTATAATTACCACGATGTAGAAGCTCCCTGGCGTTGCAACACTAAGTATTACCCAACAATCGAAGAGCAGCATCGTTTCATCCGGGCGTACTTGATGCACAACCCTTCGTACAAGGCTAGTGGCGGATACACGTCCAATCCCCCTACACCACACCTTGGACCGCTTCCCTCTTCCGGTAGTACGACTGCTCTAGCAGCAACAGCTGCCCCAAGCAGCATCTCCGCCTTTATGCTCGACTCGCGAGCTCCTCCAGGCGAAAAGTATCAAGAGCAAGAGGCCCAGTACGAGCGACAAATTGAAGAGGAAACGCGCCGCCTCCTAGCAGAGACCAAACTCTGGCGTCTCGCCAACTCCGCCATGTGGGTTGCCTGGGGCATAGTCCAAGCACACATCCCGGGCCTCCCTAACTTCGACGAGGAGAGCGAAGACAACAAGACAAGCGCCAACCCAAGCGCAGAGGCAGCAACGCTAGACAGCGCAACTGCCGAGCTGGAAGCCGCAGCTAAAGCAGAGCAAAAGAGCACGGGGACAGTGAGTGAAGAAACGGCGGCAAAGATACAGGCGCAGGCGCAGATGGAAAATGATGCTGACCTTTTCAAGTCGCAGGACGAGGAGGAATTCGATTACTTGCAGTATGCTAATGACCGAGCAATGTTTGTCTGGGGGGATGCGCTTAGGATGGGGATTGTGAGCCAGAACGAATTGCCTGAGGAATTGCTGCAGAGGATCAAGCTTGTCGAGTATTGAGATGGGACTGAATGGTGTATAGGGGTAAGGTCGAATGAAAAGTGGAAGGGGGATGATGGATGCCTTATGACAACGATATGAATGGTGTACCTATGTAAAACGTCAATCATGTAACGACATGAGGCATGTCATGTACGTAGTAGCATATGAAAAAAAAAACATATTAAGAAAAACCCCCAGTATACCAGGACTTAATCGCCAATCTATACATATTCAAGAAACATGCAATCATTCTTCTTTCTCTAGGAAAAAAACAACAAGTCATACAAGTCTGATTCGTACACCATACGCCTTCCTTCCCGCACTCACGTAAGAGAAGCAAAAATCGTTAATAATCCCCCCCCNCCCCCCCGCCCACCAGCTCAGCTCAACTCAGCTCAAATCCATCTTATCCCCCTGGGCCTCGGCCTCGTCCGGCTTCGGCTTCGCGGGAAACAAGCGCTCCAACCCCCTAACTTCGTCGCCCCTAACCCTGGTGCCACCAGCCTCCCAGGCGCCCTCGACGCCATCCGTCGTATCCACGCCCCTGCGCTCCAGCACGCGCTTGGCCTGGGATTCGATGTAGAGTCTACGCTGGGCGCTGCGGTCTTGTGGTGCATCTGTTGCTGTTGGTGCGGAAGAGGAAGAGGAGGAGGTAGAAGCGAGATGGGGTTTCAGCGATGCAACGAGTTGGCGGAGATAAGGAAGCTGGGTTGTTGTGAATGTGGTGTGTGTGGTTAGTGGTGGGGAAGTAGTGGTGGCTTTTTCGTTTATTGGGGGTGTGGTTTGGATGCCGAGGGCTTGTGCTGCGGGGGTGGAGGAGAGGAAGGCGAAAGGTGCCGTGTTGTTGTCGTTGTTGCTTGGTGTTTCTGTGGCTGTTGTTGTTGAGCTGCGTGTTTCGCGCTTGGGGCCTGTGGAAGAAGAAGAAGAAGAAGAAGAAGAAGAAGAAGAAGAAGGGGGGTGAAGGAGGGATTTCAGGCGCGCGATTTGGGCTTCGTTGCGGGTTTTTTCGGCGACGAGGGCGGCGTGCAAAGTACGTGTTTCGAGGAGTTTGCGGCGGAGGGTGTAGAGGGATTCAGGGGTTAGGGCGTTGTCTTTGGAGGGGGGTTGGAGGTTCTGAGTTATGTTAGATTTCCCAACTTTGTCTGCCTTTGCTTCTCTTGGTGGCATATATATATAGAGAGAGAGGGAGGGAGAGAGAGAATACGTACCTCGTAATGTCCCAATCTAACCCAATCTCCCAGTCCTTCGTCTTCACCTTTCCCTCTTCCAAGCGCAAACACGTTTCTCAGTGTCCAAATCTCCAATTTGTCAAAGTTCTTGTCTACGGCATTTTCCATGAGTGTCTCGAGTTTCAGGACTCCTTCTTCAATCTCCAGTCGCGCCTCGGGATATACATTGTTGCCTTCTTCGTCTTTCTGCGGTGTGCGACCTTGCGAGGCATAGAGGTCTGCGAAGCCGAGTAGGGCTGGGTCCGCGGACGAGAGGCCGGTTTCGAAGGAGTCGGTACAGCGGTAGAGGACTTCGTTAACGGCGTTGATGATGTCGTCGATTAGGGACTGGAAGATGTTACACCGTCAGATAAATGTCTTGAATCATGCGCCGTATGCAATCGTTTTTTTTTTCTCTTCTGGGCAACCATGACATGAGGAATTGGGAAACATGCATTCCCCGCCAAACACTTGGTCAAATCCCCACTATCACCACCTTGCACTGCGGGATCACACATACAATCGGAGGCCAGGTAAAGTGCTCGGTAAGGAGCATATTCTCCTGCTGCTTTGCGCTCGCCATTTTGTCCCTTGTCCCTGCTGCCGTTCGCGTTGCTGCTGTTGTCGCAAATGCCCACCGGGATGTTTTGCGACACGCGCCGAGAGGGGACGTGTGTTTACCCCAAAGGGCGTCTGACGACGAACAAGGGTCACACACGCGCTAGGCGGGCCTCGCTAAGGCCGCTTCGTTTGGAACCCTTGCGTGCGGAAGACTGCGAGCCGATAAGTGAGACATGAGGGGGAAATGATGATTCCGGCGGCAGCGGTTATGATTCCCGAATACTACTATATTCTTTGATCATCTATCTTGGACAAACGGAAACAAGATGTGTGTGATGATTGCTGACAAGTGAGAAATGCATATTTGCAGTTGATTGCAGACAGCCTGTTCAACTATGGTGATACACAATACAGTGCCTCTAGCACCATCTCTTCCAATCCTATATAATACAACGCAACCACATGTATAGCACCAAGTGTCGTCTAGAGTGCATACAACATGGCGCTCTCCCCGCGATGGTAATGATAATGATGATGATGATGATGATGATGATGATGACGACGACGACGAACCGTGGCCCTCGAGCCACCGCTCAAGTACAAGCTTTCCCTGCCACCCTCCCGAAGCTGCACGTGCAGACATTGTGGTATACAGATTTGTTCTTATGCTAAGCGCGCAAGACAAAACAATACTTTTCCGTGGGCGCGCGGAAAGCAAACAAAAGGAAAGACGGGAGAATAATTGGTAATCCAAGACAACAAAAGAACACACATAACGCCAATAAGTCCGGTATGAGACCTAGAGTAAACCTTTCTCTCCATGCGTCATGTCGCTGTCGTAAATGCGGTAGATGTGAAGCAAAAGACAAAACCACCGCCATTATTGCATCCCTCACCAACACGGCGGAACTCGATAACTATACAAAGACGTTCCTGTCCGAGAACGTCAAAGACGAGGCCACCTCAGTACTGTCGCTGTTGTTCACGGAATCGGCGCTCTTCTTCCGCCCGGCGGGCCTTCTTCTCCCGCTCCAGCTTGATCTTGTGGGCTTCTGTCCCATCGTCCATGAGCGATTCCTTGAACCAAGGGTGTTGCAGAGCCTCCTTGGCCGTGATTCGCTTCTTGGGGTCATACACGAAGATGCGTCGTAATAGATCGAGGAATTGCCTGTTGAAGTCGGTGTGGGCAGGGATGGTTTCCTGTACATGTTAGTTGTCATCAAGTCATGCATTGTGGCTGGACGTACGGGGAGCTTCTTCATCGCTTTGACATATTTCTTGGACGCCTTGTTGGTCTCGGCGTTGGGGTAGTCGAGCTTGTAGTTCTTAAAATATCTTGCAGCACTACTCATGTCAGCAAAGAAACTTTCTTAGGCACAGTGCATGCATCTACTTACGAGCTTGCCGAATTGCGTGATGATCCACGGTCTTGCTTGTAGACGGCCCGTACAATGTCCCGGTCAATCTTGCCGCTGCAGACGGCTTCCATCATGGCCAGATGCTCAAGGTTATCGTGCGTTTGGAACAGGGCGTCGCCAGTGAAGAACTCGACCAGGATGCATCCGATACTCCAAATGTCGCAAGGGAAGCTCCAGCCTAGGTTGAGGATAATCTCTGGCGCACGGTAGTGGCGGGTTGACACAACAGACGAGTGGTACTCGTCATTAAAGGTTGCCGATCCAAAGTCGATGAGTCTGATCTCCGGGTCAAGGAGGACCTTGCGATGTCGTGCCGTCCTATTGACCGTGGTAGACGATGACGGTACAGTTCTATTGTACGTGAAAGTCTGGTAGTTGTTGTTGACAAGCAAGATGTTCTCTGGCTTCAAGTCCGTGTGGATCAGGTTGAGATCATGTAAGAAGGCAACGCTGGTAAAGAGCTGCTTGGCAAATTTCTGGATGTGAGAGCTGGGGAATGGCACAAAGCCGTTGGACTTGAGAAAGTCAAACACACTTTGGCCATAGAGGTCAGTAACAATGCAGATATGGTTTCGGTAGTCGAAGCAATCTCGCAGGTGTATGCATCGGTTGATGTTGTGCTTATCGTTGGAAGCCAGTGTTGACAGCACTCGCAGTTCGATACGGCTGGCGTCTCGGTACTTGGGCACAGATCTGATGACTTTGATGGCGCAGTTTGTGCCTTTTCGTCTATCGTAGGCCTGGACGACTTTGCCAAACGTGCCCTGACCGAGTAGCTTTGTGATTTGATCTATTGGTCAGGTGTTAGCATCCACGGTAACACATGGCGGTGTGAGAACAACGTACATCGCTCAGTAAGGTCGGCATCTGGGACTACAATGTAGTGGCCGTCTTCATCGTCGACCTTTTGGTCTTTGTTGTATGATTTCTGGGTCGCGTCAGTATCTGGTGTTTTGAAACAAGAGGCGGGTGTGTGTGTGTGTGTGACTTACGTCTTGGATCACCTGGACATAAACATCTTTGGCCTTGATGACTGGGTTGGGCGGTGGCTGGTAGAGGCTAAAGGGGTCGTCATGTTGGTCTAACTCTCGTCGCTTGGCCTGCTTTGCTTCGTCCTGGACCACGGCGCGTGTGCGCTTGCGTTTCTGGCCGGCGGCCGTGGTGTCGTGGGGCGAGATGTTGTGGCCGTTGCTGACCTGGGAGCCGAGCGAGGTGGGCGCAGTGGTGTTGAGGGCAGAGGTTGTGCGGTCGGTGGACAGCGAGTGGTTGGGCGAGTCGTAGTAGGGCGTCTGGGTGGTCGAGTACGAGGTGTGCTGGTTGTAGACGGGGTCGTAGGCCGTCGACGCGGTCGTTTTGCGCTTCTTGTCTGCATGGCGCGCCGACGAGTTTGTGGCAGCGTGTGCAGCAGCATCATCGTCGTCGTCGTCGTCGATAACAATGACCTCTCTGGGGATGCCGTTTTTGTAAAAGTCGGCCCAGTCCGGGTTCCGGCGTCGATGAGCCGAGCCGGCGTCGGTCGCGCTCATGTCGATCGGGGCTGGGTGAGGGATGGGGGGCAGCTGGGGGGGTTGTCTGTTGTGGGCAGTTGCAGTTGCAGATGCAGCGGTTCGGCGCAGGTCAGAGGTCGAGGAGCCGCTAGCGTAGCCGTTGTAGAGCGAATTGCCTATCCGACCAGAGCCGTTGGCAACCTGGGCATTGGAGATGTTTGGCTGGTAAGCGTGGTGGTGCGAATAAAACTGATGATGGGGCGGGAGTGTGGCCGTGGCGGTGGAGGGCGTAGACATGGTTGGGCCGTCGTCCCGGGGCATTCGAGAAGCGACGTCGTGACGCTGCTTTCGCTGTGCGCAGCCTAGCGGGTCAAGCACGTCGACGAGGCTGCTGGACGGCGCAGGGCAGCCCTGGATGCGAGCACTGCCAGGCGAGCAGCGGGAGCGAGGACGGCGAGACGGGCGACCAGGAGGCAGCGCAGAAGGCGATGCACTCGAGGGCGCGGGCGTGGTGTTGGTGGTGGTGGTGGTGGGTGCGGGTGCTATGGCGGCAGGCCTGGCCAGTCGAGGGCGCTCTCTCTCTCTCGCTCAGAGGCTCCGGGGGTGCGGAGAAGAAAGGGCCTTCACGTCGCTTGGAGGGAGTGCGTGGGCCAGAGCGGCGTCAGGCGGGCGGGCTGTGATGGGGGAGGTGTGTGGTGGCAGCAGAGGGCGAGGGGCGAGGCACAAAGGCTGTAGTCACACATGCCCAAGCAAAAGGCAGAAAAGCGTCGTGGTCGCCAGACGGAGGGCAGCCAAGGTCGAGATGACACTTGCGGAGTCTGTGGTGAGAAGCCGGGCCTGTGCGGTCCACTTGGTCGTCATTCGCTTTCGCGGCACGCCAGCGACCGTCTCTCTTTCGCGTCTCGCGCCACCCTCGAGCCAGGCCAGGACGACGGGCTGGGCAGGTCAGAGTTTGAGCTTGCGACTCTACAGGCATAGCCCGAGGGGGGGCACCCAGTCATCTGCTGCTCTGTCCATCCATCCACGACCCATCCGTGAATCCATCCATCTACACATGAACATAATTCCGGCTCCGGCTCCGTCTTGAAACCGTCGCACACGTCCAGATGCCCAGCCCACAGGAGACGGAGAACAAGCCGTGCGGCTCTCTGCCCATCTAGAGAAGCCTACCCATCTAATGCCTACCTACTCCTTGGACACAGCAATTCGGCCCACAAGACACCGCCTGTCTGCTCCAATGGCGCCGCCAGAGTGAAGCGGTATGCGCGCAACATGGTCACGAGAAACAAACGGTCCTGCGCCGCCCATGGAGCATGTCATCTGCTTGTCCAACCAGCCTTACCTTGCAGCCAAGTCGTCTTTTGTTGAGAATAGGCGTCTGCACATAATTCTTTAGGCCCGACCATGTCCCCCACGATGGCCCTGGGGAGCAACTTGTCGAATGCGTTTGTTCGGCCGTGGTTGTCGTCGTCGTATATATAGCACTATGTGATATAACTATGTAGCTCCAATATATACACTTTACCGTGTGCCCCCGATTTGGCTGCTGTCGCTTCCGCTGTAATGCCTGAATACGAGCGCGGTCCCTGCCGCAGCTCGACTAACGCTAAAACACCCTTTTCTGACCATGACACACCCATTTTCCTCCTCTTTCTCCTTCTTGCTCTTATATCCGCTGCTACATACACGCACCGATCCAGGAACGGGAATGCTCCCTCAGCACATGTGCCTGAGTATAGGCTGAGGTGAGACGTGCAGCAGCATGCCCTATCGGTGTCGCTTGGCTCAGCCATTACTCAGCCCACCCACTGCTCGCCTCACGGTTGCTGCACTCCACTCTGCTACTGCACCCAGTAACGTCATCGTCCAACGTCTGCCCTTCGCCCTCCACCACTGCGCTTCTGCTTCCACTCTCAAAGCCCGTCCAAGCTCCCGGCTCAATAGCCCGCGGCCCTCTATCCTGTGCATTCGCTGCCTGTCAGCCGCCTTGACGCGCCCTCTTGGGCGCCTCCTTGTTGCGTCCTAGCGCTGGTATAGCCGCCAAGGCTGAGTCGTGGGTGACTTTCTGCAATCGTGGCGGCGGCGCAATTGCCTCTCGGCACGTGCCAGACACGCCG